TGGGGCTTCATTTCTCAGACAGACTGACAGGTGTAGGTCAGGGAAATACTGACCAAGTTGTTAAAAGGAGATATGATTGTCAAGAACTGGGTATTCATACTGACACAAAGCCTTGGGATTACTCAGATTATACTCTGGGTCTTGAGGCCCCTTTTGGAGTGAATAGAAGTTTTGACGCTGAAGCTGGTATAGGACCAGCTTTGTGAGACAGCATCTTAGAGCATTTACACCTGGGCTCGAGGGCAGGAGCAACTCACTGTGTGCCAGTAGCTCCTCCATCGGATTGCAGGATGCTCTGACAAAGGGACAAACAGATGCACTGGGGTAAAAGCGAAAGACTGCTTTCAAAGGAGAGGATTTCTGTAGCTGGCTGACGATGCCAGTGGCAGGAAAATAAACATGGTCTGGGGTGGGACCAGGACTCCTCACTTACAGCAATTGTTCCTCCCTATTCTATTTTTTAAATAACAGCTTTATTGAGATATAATTCACATTCCATAAAATTCACCCTTTTAAAGAGTACAATAAGTAGTGGGTGTTTTGGAGGTTAGGTATTTTAGCATATTCAATGTTTAGTGCACCCATCACCACTATCTAATTTTGGAACATTTTCATCACTCTCCCCCACAAAACCCATACCTATTAGCAGTCACTCCTTGTTCCCACTTCCCAACCACTATCCTAGTTTCTGGATTTATGTATTCTGGACATTTCATATAAATGGAATCAGTATGTGGTCTTCTGTCACTGATTTCTTTCACTTAGCATGATGTTTTCAGGGTTCATCCATGTTGTGGTATGTGTCAGCCCATCATTCTTTTTTATGGCTGAGTAATATTCCATGTATGGCTAGACCACTGTGTTTATCCAGTCATCTGTTGATGGACATGTGAGGTATAAGAAAATGGTGTGTGTTCATTCATTCGGCAAACATTTCTTGAGCACTCTTATTTGATAGGGAATCTTCTGGGACCCAAAGGAGGACTCCTAGAAATAGGAAGACTTTAGTGGTTGGTAGTAGAAAAGTCATTGGTTCTGCCACTGTCCGGCCTGGTGCACTGAGGACTTGGTGTCCGGTTGTGGTGTGCTGTGCTTTTGTGCAGGAGCAGTTTAAGGATTTGGTCCAAGAGTGCAGGCTGCGATTTCGCCAAACGTGGTCCCCTGGGTGCAGTTCTGAAGCAACACAGAGCCTTTGGCTTCTCGCGGTCCTCACCTGCTCCGAGTCCTCCATCTTCTTCCAAGTGTGAAAAAGTTGGGTGGTTTTGCAAACACTCCAAAATCAAAAACATAAGGCTATTATGAACAAAAAGAGAGCAATTCATTTTTAATTATTTTAAGCTCTGTTTGTTTGAAGAAGATGATAAAATGAAGTGTCAGAAGGTTCAGTCAGCAGTGGGCTTCACTGGGTGAACAGACACAGCAAGGGCTATAGTATGTACTTGTATATGCTTCTTTTCATTCTCAGTGTATTTTCTGAAAAAAATGACCTCCTGGATATGGTTGCTAATAAGAATGCTCTGTTGAGCAAATAATTTTTTTGTTCTGCTGTAATTGTTATGACTTATTCTCAATTTTGTTGGCTGCTCTTTATAAGCTGATAAACTTAAGAGTTATTAGAATCATTAAAGCTGCACAGCTTGTAGCTTTATTTGCCACACAAATAAAAACCATTTAAAATTTTATTTTATTAGTATATAATTGTGATACAAATTGTATTTTTCATTCAGTATATCCATTATGACCATTTTATGAATCATATATATTTCAGAGCTAAGATACTAACCTTAGAGCAGTAAAGGGCAGTGGAAAATTATAATTGTGTATGTTTTATTCCTTACTCTACCTTCTCCCCTTCCTAGATTTCTTATTTTTTATTGAATATGTTTATAATGTATTTTAATTCAGGTATAATTCACATAAAATTCATCATTTAGTGAGTTGTAGTATATTTATTATGTTGTACAACTATCGTGACTGTCTAGTTCCAGAACATCTCTATTGTCTCCAAAAGAAACCCTTACCTATTAGCAATCAATTCCAATTCCCCTCCCTCTATGGTTTTGTCTCTTCTGGATATTTCATGTAGATGGAATTACATGATATGTGGCCTTTTGTATCTGGCTTTTTCACTTACTGTATTTTCAAGGTCACCCATGTTGTAGCATGAAATCATACTTCATTCCTTTTTATGGCTCCATTCCTTTTTATATTCCTTTTAATATCCCATTGTATGGATATACCACATTTTAAAAATCCCTTTTTTAAAAAAAATATGTATTGATTTCAGAGAGAGGAGGGGAGAGAGAGAGAGAGAGAAAGATCAATGGTGAGTCATTGATCGTCTGCCTCCTGCACGCGCCTGACTGGGGATGGAGCCCGCAACCCGGACATGTGCCCTGACCGGGAATCAAACCGCAATCTCCTGGATCCTAGGCCTAACGGCTGAGCCCTCCTGGCCGGGCTCACTTTTTATTTAAATTACTGTTTTTGTTCTAAGATTTGAGGAAAATCAGCCCCCTCCCCCATGACTTAAACATTTCCAGATTGTTTTTCTAGCAGTCTCTAAAGCAGTAATGTCCGAACTTCTTTTTGTTGGTGACTTTGATAGCAATGTTTCTGTAGACCATGTGTCACCTCCCCTGTTGCCACCATAGAAAACCCCCACCAGAGTTAATAGGAAGGAGGTTATTATTGTTGGAAAACAGCTCCATTCTGCAACCCCAGACCTATAAAGTGATATTGGAGTTTACTGTGGTAATTTAAGTCACAGAGCACTCCTAACTAGCAAATTAAAGCTAGGCTTGTCACCTAACTAATGACTTTTAACATCAAAGACAAAAAGGGACGGGTCAAAGTTCTGTGGGAGAAGCAATTTCTGAGTGCACAGGCTTCTCTGTTCCCTGAGGTTCAGCTCCTGAATCCCACTTGAACTTGCTTCTCAGAATATGATATCAGGTATTCCTTTAGAGACCATGGTTTTAGTACAGGAAGTTGTTACTACCCGATGGAAGGCAAGTTTAAGTACCATGTTGTTTATTATTTTATTTTTCGATTACAGTTTACATTCGACACTTTTGTATTAGCTTCAGGTGTAAAGCACAGAGGATAGACATTCATGACCTTTAATCTCAAAGTACATCTGTGGTTTTTTGTGCATTAGACACTGAGCTTTGTCCCTTTTGGAACAGCTATGGCTTCCTGGGAATTATAGGGAGACTGTTCCCTTGGGGAGAGAGCTGGATTTCAGGGCTGATTGTGACCCAGGCACAGTCCCAGCACCTATTCATGGTGCCAGTGAAAGGGGCCAGCCTGAAAGAAGCATGTGGGTGGGGTGAGTGGTGCTCACATGGAACAAGGGTGCGTCACAGTGGGTTTGGCTTGCATGGAGACAGTGCAGACACGAGGCGGGCGGGTGGCGGGGAGTGGCCACTGTCTTCGACCTCCGATGGGCCCTCTGCCAGATGCAGGACAGAAGAGCAGTGTCTGTCAGCCCAGCCAAATGGAGAGGCTCCAGAAGCTTGCGGAGCATTGTGAGAGGGGCAACGAGTTCCTTCCTGTCCCTGAAAGGCCATTCAGGGCTCTCCTCCATAACGGGAAGGGGAGCCCTGGGGCCTGGCTTCTCTAAGGAACTGGGCTTGCTTTCAGCATTGGCATACCCCAAAATGCAGGGTGCTGCATCACTGGGCGAGGGCACAGCTGCGCTCCATGGGCAGGCCCTAGCACCAGCCCCTTCCCAAACACACTGTCTGGGACCTGCTGTTCCCTTCCTTGATTTTCTTCAGCTCACTGGTCCCTAACCACTCTCTTTTTAGTATATGTGCTGGCAAAGCGAGCACACCTCCCTCTTTTAAATTTGTTGCCTGTGTTCACTCTCTCTTTCTTTTTCTCTTTCTCTCTCTGGCCTTCCTCTCTTTGTTCCCAAGAGTTATATGCATGTCTCAATACCCAGCACTTTGAGTACTTGGGGGCAAGGGATGCTGATGCCAGGACCTTGGACAGCCACCCTGTCACCTGGCCGGTAAATCATCTTGGGAGAGAAGATAGGAATCTTGGAAACGTGAGGAGCAGTTGGGAGCAGGATTCCCTGGAGGTTCAGTGGGAAAGAAACATGAATCTCCAGTATCTCAATGCTCCTTGAACTTCTGGTTGAGCAGTTACCGCCTCTCCCTCAGAAGGGACTGCTCACGCGGCATGAATGCTTTACATACTTGGCATTCTCCAGTGGGTCTCATCTTCCTAGCCACGTCCACCTGTGCAGTGTCCGTTCGTCCTCATATTGAGACACAGACTGCTGTGGGGACTTGCTATAGACAGCCTACAATTTAATCAGCTACTTCAGTTCACTTGGATGTCAGACACCGGAGCATTATCAAACTGCTACTTCTGCTGAGGCTGCTGCTCTGGTATCCACATTGTCCTTGTCATCTTTCAGGTCTGAGAGGCAGTGGGATTCCTGAGTGTACTGGGCCCATATGGTTGTCCTTAGACCTGACAGTGGCTAGGCAGTTCCTCCTCCTGGGTTTGGAGCCCCTGGGAGAGGCTCTTCATGCAGGACTCCGAAGCCAAGGACAGTGTGGGTTTACGCCCACCATCAGGGCCAGCAGAAGAGCAGAGTACCTCTGCATGGATACTAACACTCGGTGGGTGGCTTATTTATCATTTCATATAAAGTAACAACTCTTCCCTTTGGGGGCTTTTAGCTCATCACAGGTTCTCAGCCTGAAAAAGTGTTGTGTTGTACTGGTATTTATGTTTTGCGTTACAAGGTTATGTGTTTTCTTATATACGTACATACACACACACACGAGAAGAGATTTGGCATGGAGTCTGAATCTGGGTGGACCTCAGGATTCTGTACCCTTTCCCCACTGCCTGGGATTCTGAATGGCATTGCGGTTACCCTTCACTCCTGGGTAGAATCCATCAGGGATAAATTGTTCATGGTGTGGGCCCTAGATTTGCTGTCGTGCCTCACTGAGTATGCATCCCTGTTCCTCCAGGTGACTCGGAGCTCCTCTCCGTGCTGACAAGATGACCGTGTGCAGGCCGGCCAAGGGCAGCCACAGCCAGACTGAAAACCTGAGCTGCAAATTGGCTAACAAGTAAGAACTTTTCTCCCCCAAGAATGGAGTCGTTGGCCCGGGTTCTCAGTCCCCTTCCTTTCTCTGCTGCCTTTCCCTGCTCACTAGCCCCACTTCCTGAATTAAGGAGGCATTCTTTTCCGACTCACTGTGATGAGCCTCCTGTCAATCATCTCCATGTGCTGTGCTCAGTTAAGAACCTGAGACCAAAGTGGTCAAGGGAAGGTCTGACTAGCACCCAGTGTGTTGAGAGGATGATCCCAGCGCCTCAGGCAATGTCCCCATTTATACATTCCAGTCCATAGTTTATTTTTCTCACTACTAGAATGCACAAGTATTGTAATTAGCAGTGAGCCCTAAATCCTTGCACTGTATCTGTCCACATGCCATCTTTACCCATCTTGTATCAGCGGAATTGTTTTCTCCGCAGGTGTTTTCCTTTGATGCTCTCTCTCACATTCTGCAAAGGAGCTGGCGATCACTGAGCTCTTCACAGCTCTAGATCCCCTCCTGTGGCCATAGACTCTTGGAAGCAGGGACTGGAGGAATTCTTGGGTGCAGACCATGTGGTGAAGGCACTCTCTCTGCCCTTGTTTCATCATCCCTGCTGCTCTTGCTTGAACTTTGTCACTCTAGCTGGTCCTCCAGCAAAGCATCCTTTTCTCTCTTCAGTGTTTATATAGCCTCAGCAATTGCGAAGGCATGCCAGGACCTTAGACATAACTATCATTAAATAGCACCAGTTAACCATTTATTAATATCCAGGTCCATCATGTATGTACTCTGGGCATATTATATATATTAACTCATTCATTTATTTAATAAATATTTAATGACTACCTATTATGTACCGGGCACAGCAAACAAGATAAATTAGGCCTCTGTACTCCTAAAGTTCCAGTCTAGACAAGAGAAATAGGGTTCTTCCTTTAAGATGAAAAAAAATGGAATCAAGATTTCAACCCAGGTCCCTCTAATTCTAAAACCGTGTATTTATCTACTGTCATTATTTCTTAACCGAGTCCTGGCTGGGTAGCTCTGTTAGTTAGAAAATCGTCCTACTACGCCAAGGTTGCGGGTTAGATCTCCAGTCAGGGCACATATGTTTGGGACATGAATGCATATATAAGTGGAACAACAAATCTCTCTTCCTCTGTCCTTCTCTCTCCCTCTCTTCCCATCCTCCCCCTCCTTTCCTACTTCTCTCTGCCTTCCTCTCTCTCTAAAATCAAGAAATAAAAAATTTTAAAAATATTGTTTAAAAGTACATATGATACTAATGATTATATATTCATCACCAAACATACACTAACCTGAACTGTGTTTTTATGTACCTGTCCTATTTTTTCATCTCACTGCTAGCACCATGAGAAAAGGATTTTAACTTTTGCCTTTTTGAATTCTCAGTAAAATATCAACAAAATGATTCTGATTCCAATTCTGACTAAAATCTGAATTCATGCCAGTGTCCTCAGTGGTGACACAACAATTAAGAAATGTGTTTCTAATTCTGTAACACTCTGTTATAAATGCTAATTGTTTATTTAAATAAGGAATCCTGCTTTGATAGCCATATTTAACATATGAAAATGTGTTTGCAATTTCACAAGGTTTTAATTTACATTGAGCAACCAAGAATAGCAATGCAACTTACATGCTAGTGTCCCAATGGGAAGAAGTCTTTATGTAAACAACTGTTAGTTTTTGGAATAGAAAGCTAAATAGTAATAAGGTACGTGAAGTTACTAATTCCTCATCCCTGTGCAAACCTTACTGGGGCTTCAGAATTCCTATACAGCCTGGCCTGTGTATTCACAAAATGGGCACCAGGAGGTTGGCCCATGCGTGTTGCTAATCTTCACACATCTAAGGTCGCTGTGTTCAGTCATGATCTGTGCTGGTGGAGGACAGTTTCACATTTCAAAACTCAGATACTCAGAGACTAGCTTAAAAATGTTTTTCTGGTTTGCTTTCAAAATAATTTTCAGCATCTTTATAACACTATCTCCTAAATCACATTTGGAAGCATGTATTCCCACATGTACATTCTAGGCCAGAACTTTCAGGAGTGGTGGAAATCTTCTCCGTCCAATACAGTAACCATTAGCCACATGTGGCTGCTGAGTCCTTGACATGGCTCGTGCAGCTGAGGAATTGAAGCTTTAATTTAATTTGATTTCAATTTAAATAGCCACATGTGGCTAGTGGCCACTCTATTGGACCATGCAGTTCTCGGCCACCCGTGAAATCCGGATCTGCTTGATGATTCACTCGTTCATTTATGCAGCAAATATTTAGCGGCCACCTACTCTGCTAGGTGTGGTTCTAGGTGCTAGGAATGCAGCAGTAGCCAAAACAGGCCAAATTCAAAACCAAACAATCCCTGTCCTCATGGAGAGACCACTCTAGTAGGGCCCACATTCTAAAGTAGGTGTAACTCAAATGCAACCAGTCAGTGTGTCTTTACCAATTAAAATCAGGACAACTTATCAAGCCCAGAATTAACAAAAACTTTGTAACTCATGGTGTTCTTTTAATTTTAAATAGTCATTACAAAGGCCCATCCATTGATTACAAAAGCAAAGAAAACTTAGACTGTATACTCTTTTATCTCATGACCTTTCTTCTGTTTTCATTAGGGAAAAAAGCTAATAACAGTGGTCACCACTTCTTGTACATTCATGACATGCTAGGTGCTTTATGTGGGCTAGCTAATGCTGTGTTTACAGTCGCCCTGTTAGATATGTATTATTATCACTGTTACTGCTGTTTTACAGGTGAGGAAACTGAGATTTAGAAAAGTTAAACAACTTTCCCAAGATCACACAGCTAGTCAGTGGTTGAATTAGGATTTAAATCCAAGTCTACTGGACTCCAAAATCCAATAGCTCCATGATATCTCCCCCCAAAAAATATTATGTGGTTTTTTAAATGGTGGTTTCAATGTTTATGATTTGCAACTAGCATGTAACATTTATATCTAAGTTCTAGGAAATCTCTATGACCAGCCAAGAGCAATAAATAAGAATCCCTCACCCAGTGTTTATCTTTCTTGTTCAGGGTCAAAGTGGAAGGTCCAGAGGCTGGAGAAGACCCTCAAAGGCAGCCCTTTAGGTCCTCCATTCCTTTCCTAGAGACTGATCAGGACTCACCCCTCCAAAGAAGCCTCCTGGAAAGCCTCAATAACCTGATGTTCAAGTCAGGAGTAAACTATTTTCAGCAGAACATGTTCAACTCAAATATGATCATCAGCGACCCAGCTTCAGGCCTCAGTGCTAAAGAAGCCAGCAGGACTGGCAGGAGGCAGCTCAGCAGTGTTCAGAACCCCTGCCCTTCTGCCCGAGGCGGTGCCGGGCACAAGTCCCTCAGCATAAAGGACAAGATATCAGAATGGGAAGGGAAAAGGGAGTTTCCTACTCCTGCACCTGGCAGGAAAGCAGATGGGCAAGAGGATTACCTGCCCTCCTGCGGGACAGAGAGGAGATGTGATGATGGTGTGAGGACTCAGGTCACAGTGGCTCAGAATGGAATGAGGCTGGAAAGAGAGAGCAAAGAGAATGAGAGGAATAAGGAGGCAGTGGAAGTCGGGGGCCAGGATGCAGAGGGGAGGCTAGACCTAAGCCAGCCCGCCAGGGAGCTGGCTCCAAGCTTGGGCAGAGGCCTGGAGCTGAGGCTCAGCAAACAGCGCTTGCAGAATGACAGCCTCTCTGTGCTGAAGCAGGTCAAGAAGCTTGAGCAGGCTCTGAAGGATGGCTTGGCAGGGTTGGATCCCCAGCTACCAGGGACTTGTTATTCCCCTCATTGCCTGCCCGACAAGGCTGAGGAGGGGCCCACCGGAACCGGAAACCGTGGGTGTGGGAGTGGCTCAGAACTCAGGTCCCACCACTTGGACCTGGGAGCCAGGCAGCCCACCCCCGAGGCTGCGGAGGAAAGAAGAGGCTTGTACGGGAAGCCCTGTGACCAGAGCCTGGACAGTGTGTACAGGGGCTCCCCGCAAAAACCCTTCATCAACCCCCTGCCCAAACCCCGGAGAACGTTCAAGCATAGTGGCGAAGGGGACAAGGATGGGAACCCAGGCATCAGCTACAGGAAAGATCGCAGGAATCTGCCACCTCTACCCACTCTTCCTCCCCCGCCCCTGCCCTCCTCTCCGCCACCTCCCTCTGTGAACAGAAGACTGTGGAATGGAAGACCAAAGCCCAATGCTGACCACAGGTAGGTGACAGCGACTGTCTGCTTCAGTAGTCTATGCGGCATCGCAGCTGTAGCTCAGTCTACTTATTTGTTTTTAGTAAACTGATGGAGGCTATTCATAACTTAAGGTAGTTTATTGACTAAACCTGGACACTAAACCTGATAACTGATGCATGTGTTCTGTTCAAGAGTGTATCTGCTTTGAAAAATTACCCTTTGGATGTGTGATAAGTACTTGTGATTTAGACAGTATCCAAGCTTTCAGTGAAAATTTTATTTAACACTAGCATCTATTAACTACTGCTAACTGGTTCTCATTCTGCTACTACCATCCCTGCTAGTGCTTGGTACCTTGAGTCTTTTCTGGTTCTTCCTGTCTTGTTTTTTCTTAGTATAGGCTCCAGAAACACACTGCCTGGGTCTACCCTGGCCCCATCACTCACGCTCTAACTATGTGACCTTGAATAAGTGACTTAACCTCTCAAAGCCTCAGTTTCCTCATTCATACATAGATGCACACATGTAAATATTATATTAAAACAACACATTAGATGAGAAAGCATGCGAATGCTTAAAAATAAAGTCTGTGCTTTGGAAACAGTTTCTTTTCTGCCTTGAAACCTAATTTCTAGTCCGTTTCTGTAATGTGCTCATTGGGTGATACCCACTAATTGTGGAAACCAGCTTTACAGCAAAACTCCTCAAGACAGCTGTCTATAATTACTGTTGTGACTTCTTCACCTCCTATTGTTTTCCTTGACCCACTGCAGTTGGGCTTTTGCCACTTGTCCTGAGACTGCTCTTGACCAAGGCCACCAACAACCTCCATCTTACTACACCCGATTGCCAGCTCTCTGTTCTTTTTGTGATTGACCTCTTGGCATTTGAGGAACAGCTGAGGCGCTCTACCTTGAAACATGATTCACTTGGCTTCTGGGTCACCCACTTTCCTGGTAGTCATGCTTCACTGGCTGTTCCTTCTCTAAGTGTCAAAATAACCCCCCGTCCTCCCCAGTGGGATCAGAATAGGAACTTCTCTCCATCTACACTCACTCCCTAATGATCTTATCCAGTCCCAAGGCTTTAAATTTCAATTCCATGCTTATGAGTCCCAAATGTACGTCTCCAGCCCCAACTCCCTCACCCAGCTTCAGGTCTCCATTTGAATAACCAATCATCTGGACTTAACATGTCCAAACCTTAATTCCCAATCCTGGCCACTGCAAACCACCTCATCTAAAATAATTTCCATTTTATTAAATGGTATCACCCTTCATTTTGCTTAGGCCAGAAACCTAGGGGTCATTCCTGAGTCCTCTCTTTTTCACATACCCCCATCTAATTCATCAGCAAGTCCTTCAGTTCTAGTTTTAAACATTATCTTTAATCTGACTATATCTCCTCCACTGCTACCACCTTAGTCATCTTGGATCCACCACCACCCCCAGTATATTCCTTTCTCCACAGCCAGGTGAAATTGTCTAGAAATATAGATTAGACCCTGTTACTTCCCCACTCAACATGGTCTGTCAAGCAGTATTCTTTTGGCTGCAAAAAACATTATTTCTTACGTTCTCTCCTAGGGAAAAAGTTTGTATATTCTAGAATTCTATATATATCTACAGTATATAAAAATTATATCTTTTAAAAGTGAAAAAGTATGTGTGCCTCTCTCACATATATTCTTTTTTGCTCAGGATATCGAGATCTTTCAATGTTACCACTTTTTAAATTTTTTCCACCTTTCTATAACTGCCACATTCTTTACATCATGTAGATTAATCATATTTTATTTAGCTGTTCCCCTACTAGATGGACACTTAGATTGTTTCCAATTTACAAATAATGCTGTGATGAGCAGTACATAGTATTAGAGAAGACTGTAGAGCCAGAGTACTTCTAGCTCTGCTATTACTAGCTGTGTGACATTGGACAAGCTACTAAATTTGTCTTAGCCTCATTTTACTTATCTATAAAATGGTGATAATTATAATAACCACTTCATAAGTTGTAAAGAAGATAACTAAGTATGTAAACCATAAAACAAAGCCTGGGATATAGTAAATGCTCAATGTTAGCTGTTATTTTTTTCTGGCTCTCTCTTGTTTGATTAATCACGGTATCTATTTCTTTTCCAATACCAAATATTTTCATTATTTTAACCTCATAATATATTTCCATATCTAGTAGAGTTTATAGAAATTTCTTATTGTTGCTAATAGTCAGTTGGTTCTCTATGACATCCTACGTATACTATCATGTCATATTAAAAAAATGATCATTCCTTAGCTGGTTTGGCTCAGTGGTTAGATCATCAGCCTGTGGATTGAAGGGTCCTGGGTTTGATTTTGGCCAAGGGTAAGTACCTCAGTTGCAGGCTCAATCCCTGCTCTGGGTCGGGGGCTGTGCGGGAGGCAACTAATTGATGTGCCTCTCTCATATCAATGTTTCTCTCTCTCTCTCCCTTCCCCTCCCTCCCTCTCCCCTTTCCACATTCTCTGAAAAGCAATGGAAAAATGCCCTCCAGCAAAGATTTTAAAAAAAGATCATTTGGTCTCCTTTTTAATAATTATAAACCTCTTATTTATTTTCTTACTATTCTCCTTTTTCAAAAATGTCTTAACTATTCTTGCATGTATTTTTGTAAATGTTCTATATATCACTATCAAATTTCACTCACATAACATGTTAGACTATTTTTATATTTAAAAAAATTTTTTAATTTAATTACAGTTGACATACAGTATTATATTAGTTTTAGGTGTATAACATAGTGATTAGACAATTAGGTAACTTATAAAGTGATCACCCCAGTAAGTCTAGTACTTGTCTGACAGTTATATGTTGTTTTTTTATTGGGATTCTTATATTTGCTAAGTTTATTCCTAAGTATTTCTCTTTTTATTGCCATTGTTAATATAATCTTTCTTTCTCATTATATAGTTTTTACTTAAAGCTATTTATTTTGTATATTACTCTTTTAAAAGACACCTTAAAGAAATTTCTTATTGTTTCTAATAGTTTGTCAGCTAATTCTCTTGGACTTTCTATGTATATAATCATATCATCTGCAAAGGATTATCATTTTACCTTTTTCTTTTTAATTTATACCTCCGAATTCTTTCTTTTACCCAGTTGCCCTGGCTAATACATCCAGAGCAGAATTAAATAGTAGTGCCAATGGCAGCGGGCAGTCTTATTTCACCCCTAACTTTAATAGTAATGTTTCTAGTATTCCACTCTCAAGGACTCTTGTTTGAGGTGTGTTTTTATGTTACCAAGGTAGTGTTCATTCATATTTCTTACTTTACTAAGAGTTTTAAAAATTAGGATTGAATGGTATGGTAGAATTTGTCAAATTATACTTCAGCAACTTTATACAATCATATGGTTCTTCTTCGATGTATTAATAGTGAATTTATGTCCTAGTATTAACCCATCCTTAGATTTTTTGTGACGAACTCCCATTTGGTCTTGGTCTATTATTTTTTAATGTACTGCTAAGTTCCATTTGCTAGTACTTGAAGATTTTCGTCTTAGTATTTCATAAATGGGACTTGCCTGTACTTGGTATTTATTGCACTATCTTTACCAGGCTTTGGTATCAATGAGATCTATAGAATTTAGAGAATTCCTCCCAAACAGGTGCCACGCCCAGGGCCCTGAATACTCTGGTGGTTTTCTGCCCTGTCCCCAGTGCTTCCTAACAGCAGCGTTGCCACACCGTTTCTGGGCTGTTCCTACAGAGGCCCACTCTCCCGGGCAGGTTGACTGGGAAGGTGGTCTTTCATCTGCGTCCTCATTGGGAAGACACACCAACCTGGTGAACTGTTACTCCATTATCTGTTCTCTCTTAGCTACCATCTGCTCTTTTTGGTCATCCAGCATTTTCCTTAAAACTAGCTAAAGTTACTTAGTCCCAGTCCAAAGATGAAATTTTTCTTGGCCACTTTGAATATAATTGCATCAGCTGTGTCTTAAGAATTTTGGCTTTGGATTTTTCATTTTGTTTAAAATAGTACAATGGGGGTGATCAGGGCAAGATGTTCACTTTCTGCTCTTTAAAAATAATGTGTGTTCTTTATTGTGGTCCTATCTCTAAAAAAAAAAGGAGGGGGGAAAAAAAGAAAAGGCTCAACTCTGAATTTGGCAGACTTACTGGGCTCTCTGAGGCAGGAAAGCCAAGGCAGGGTTGAAGAAAGAAATGATTAAGGATTTGGGGTTATGGAGGTTTAGAATTACACGGCCAGGCTGTGTGCATTGGAGAACGTATTCAGCTTATTTTCATAGGCGGATTAGTCCACCTCACAAGAGCCAAACCAGTGAATTCAGATACTCAGTTTGAGAAAATGTGAGGTTTTTTCTTTCTCTCTTCTTATTTTTCCTTCCTTTTTTTCTCTTTCCTCTTTCCCCCCGC